TGTTAACCCCACATAGGGAAGGATGTTATGATGTTCCTTCCAGAACTCTTTTAAGGGTTAAATCTGTGTTGGAGGCCGCCTGAAAGCACAAGTGGCCAGCATTCGGGTTGTAACTCGACTTCGGTCATAAGTTAAAAACTAAAATTCCGATCATAATCCAAGTTGTTCATATGTCAGCCTGGTTGGAACTCAGGAGTCTACTATATTTCTGTTTTACTGTTGAAGAAACAGAGGAGTAACTTGTGCAAGGTCACCCAGAATCAGCCAGAAATGCAACCCTGTGGCTTCCTGCTGCCTGTGGGATAAAACCTGGGCTGTTTAGCTGAGCCCCAGCACTGACTTGCTCCCGTCTGCTGCCCTTCACCTGTTTCAGCATCAGGGTCCTGGAGTGTGGGCAACCCCTACAGTCCTTGGGCAGCTTCCTGCTGCTCTTGAGAGGCCCAGAAGTCCATGTGCCAGTGGGCCGGGCCTCAGATGGGTGGAATGGAGTGTGAGAGGTACAGGTGGGAGTGTGTCCCACCCACGGGAGGAGTGCGTTCTCGGGAGAGTCCGTGGCCTTGTTTGTGATCCCGTCCCATCATTCAGTAACCGTGTGATGTCCAGTGAGTCACTTAACATCTCTGAGCCTCAGTCCCTCATCCGTAAAGGAAAGGGGCGGGAGAGTCCTTGTCGAGTTATTGTGAACTACAGTAATACAACACCTAAAAGGCAAACTTCTGGTAACTGCTCAGTTATAAATAGCTCTGTTCATCGATAAAATGATAAGCATCTTTCACAGTTTCTGATGAACATGGCTTTCTTCAGTGAATTCAAGAAGAAAATGTTAAGAATGGTACAGATAATGCTTAGGAGAACATAAGCAGAGCCTGCTGATAGTCAGTGATCAAATACTATTATTCCAGACCCATCACCACCATCTTCATTATCACCAACACCATCATCACCGTCATCGCCACCACCATCCTTGCCACGATGTCTCCATCATCACCACCCTAACTGTGCTTGCTGCCTCCCCGTGAAGCCTCCCTCTCTACCTTCCCCCTTTGCCTGAGGACCTGCCCCTGGCCCTTTCAGCCCCCTCTGCTCCTCAGTCATCTTCTGGTTGGAAATGCTGCACAATAGTCTGGCTTTCCTGGTCACTGAAGCACCATCTGTCTTCATCCGGAGCTGGCTGTCAGTGTGACTCAGTACTAACTTGGCTTCTCAGTATTTCTCTTGGTCTGTGGTATTAGTAGCTCAGTCCTCAGGCTGCACTTTTGTTTGTTTGTTTTTGTTTTCTGGGGGCTAAAGAACAGCAGAGTTACTAGGCCTCAAATGTGTATTTCTCATTGTCAAAAATCCACATCTTCTGCTGCCTGCCTCAGAAGTGCAAAGACCTGAGTTTGATCCCCGGTACCAAAAAAAAAAAGTTCAATTCTTGGGCCAGGGATTTAGCTCACTGGCACCTTTCCTGCCTCACAAATGCAAGGTCCTGAGTTTGATCCCCAATACAAAAAGATCCAAATCTTTTCTTATCCCAAGTATTAAACAAAATTCCCTCCCCTCCCCTCCTTTCCCTTCTCTTCTTTTCTAGTACTGGAATGGAACCTAGAACCTCATGCATGCAAGGAAAGTCCTCCACCTCCGAGTTACAGCCCAGCCCTATTTAAAATCATGTTCTGTGACAGGGTCGCTCCAGTACAGGCTGCCCTTGAACTTTGATCCTCCTGCCTCATTCTTCACAACAGTTGGGATTACAGGGGTGCACCACCAGCTTGGGCAAAATTTGTATACCTCACTTTCATTGGCCCCCGCTGAGCCAATCGCAGGGGCCAGAGATTGTTTTAAGCCTATTGGAGCCTATTCTCACCAGCTGTAGGTGAGATGGATCCCCCAGCAGCCTTCACAGCTCCTCCTGGCAGGGAGAGGGGGTAAAATGGTCGCCCATCCAGTGTGATCATGTTTCCCAAACCAGTATTTCTTGTTGCAACAATCTACAAAGAACGAAAGTGCCTGGAAAAGCTCTCCTCTGAGACCTAAAGCTTTTGTCCAGGATCCACAGGGTGGGTACATGTTCCATGCCTGAGGGGGCCCTGCCTACAAGAGTCTCTTTGTTGGCTGTTGGAAAACACACGGCCCTGCAGCCGTCTGCTCCACCCACTTCCGGGAAGGGAACCAGCTTTCAGAATTAGTCATGCTGTCCTCCATCCACACAACCATCCCATTGAATCCAAAGGGCAGCCCTTCAGGGGACAGCTATTATTATCCCAGCTGTAAAGATGGGGAAACTGAGGCTCTAGGACGAAGCCGGGCTGCTTGAGGTCATGCACATAATGAGAAAGTGGTAGAGGTCGGATTTGAACCCAGCCTGTCTGTTGCTGAGTTCCTTCTTTCTCTACCAGCAGGCCTGGGGTGGGGTGGGGGGATCCCAAATTGTGCCTGACTGAAGGAAGTGGGTGCCCGTGTTGTCTGGGGCCTGGTGTAGAATGAATAACTCTCAAGTATGGTTTTAATTTTTTTTTTTTTTTTACTGGGGATTGAACTCAGGGGCTTCACACTGAACTACATCCCTAAACCTTTTTATTTATTGTTTGGAGCCAGCGTCTCCCTAGGTCGCTAAATTGCCCAGGGTGAGCTCAAACTTACCGTCTTCCTGCCTCAGCCTGCCAGTATGCTGTGACTACAGGTGTGCACCATGATATTTCCTGGACACCTACTATGTGCCAGACCCTCAGGGCTGGGGAAATAGAAAATCGGGGACAGCCAAGGCTCTTCCCTCTCGGGCTTGTGCTTTCCAAGCAGAGAGGCGAAAGCGTAACCAATCCACGTATACTGCACAGCATGTCAGAAAGGACAGCGTGTCCACACTGCCGGGAGAACTGAAGCAGGGGAGGAGTGGGTCCGAGGAGGGAGCGCAGGTGCCCAGGTAAAGAGGCTGTGGTGGCGCCTGCTGTGGGGACGGGGGCGGGGGGCTGGGAGTGAAGAGATCATGAGGTGGGAGAGGTGGCCAGGACGGCTGAGGGGCAATGAAAGGTCATGGGTCACCTGGAGTTAGGGGGAGCTGGGCACAGCTGGGAGGGAGAGGCCCAGGTGTGCCTGAGGCGTCACAGGCTCCTTGTGGCTGTGTGTGAGAACAGACGGGCCAGGGCTGGAGCCACTGTGATGTCCCAGTGGGAAGGCAGTCAGGGAGGAGGGGACAGAGGCAGGGGCAGGGTGAGGGCAGTGAAGGGGAAGAAGCAGGCGTTCTGGAATATCCCCTGGAGTCTTACCCTCTCTGGGAAGTCTGCTGTCTGTTCTTGGTTCTCAGCTACATGGGCCCCTGGGGACCTTTGGTCACTCCCGCCTCCCACCACTGGACGTGCTCAGGACGGGCAGCCAGACCCAGGGCAGAATCTCAGCTTGGACCCTGAATTCGCTGTGACTTGAGCCCCAGGGTCAGAGCCCCAGGGCCACAGTGTTCTCCACTGGGAGCATGGGGCGCCCAGCAGCCATGAGTCCCGCAGCCTGGTGGTAAAGAGCAAGTCAGCTCGAGTGTGTTCGGTGGTGTGGAGTTGGCCTTTGCGTGCTGCACCCTCTCTGTGCATGCTGAGGCACGGAGCAAGGGAGACACTTGGCCAGGGGTGCCAGCCAGACTGAGAGCTGCAGCCTCATCCTCCTGCCTCTGCAGCCAGGCGGGATGCTGCCAGCATGCGCACTCAGAAATAATCTCCTCTTCCTCCCCCTCCTCCTCCTCCTCTTCCCAGCTCTCTACTTTTTGGGATACTGAGGATTGAACCCAAGGCCTTTGCACTGAGCTATGTCCGCAACCCTTTTAACATATTTTTATTTTGAGACAGAATCTCGATCAGTCACTACATTGTAATCCTTCTGCCTCAGCCTCCCAGAATGTGGCATTATAGGCACACCTCCATATTCAACTTGAAAGATCTTTTCCTCCTCCAATTTACTGGCCCAGGCCTCAAAGCCTTGGGGCCTCCATGGGTGGCCCAGGGGGGTTGCGTCACCCACAGCCAAGAAGGGGCAGTGCTGGGCACTGAAGGGCCATGGCCGATGAAGGGCAGAAGACATTGTGGAAGGGAAACACAGCACAGGCTTTTACCTAAAAAAAAGAATCTCTCTCTCATTCTCACCTGTCATAGATGTAGCATAAATATATAAATATTATATTCAAATACATTGTTTTTAACTTTTTGGTCACCTGATTCGAAAAATTTTCCCCCTTCTTTCTTTTGATGTTACTTTTTTATCTCATGGTTCGTTATTTTGTGTTAACATTAATTTTACATTTTTAATTGATTTTTTTTCCCTGCTTAGTTTGAGTTGTTTTGACTATAGAAAAGTTAAACGAGTGGTTGATGCAGTGAACCTGAATACACTTCATGGAGATTCACTGATTCTTAATATTCTGTCTCATTTGTTTTCTTTCTGTCTCCCCCGCTCCGTATATATAAAATACATACTTTCCCCAAGTTTCTGGTATTTCAGGCATCTTTCCCCACTCCTATTTTCCTTCTCTGTTATTGTCAGGTGATCAAGAGAGCCTCTTTCGGGAGGGAACGAGGGCCAGTTAGGGCAGGTCTCCTGAGATAAGCAAGAAACACAGCTCACAGGGCTGAGATAGCCCGGTATTCAGCAGTCCGCTTTGTGCTGCTGTAACAGAACTACCCAGGATAGGCTAAGTTACAATGAACAGAAATGTCTTTGGCTTGTGGTTCTGGAGGCTAGGAAGTCTGGGGGCATGGCACGGGCAGCTGGAGAGTCCCTTCCGGCCAAGCGATCCCTTGGGAGAAGGCAGAAGAACAGGATGGGGAGAAAACGAGGCAGCGAGAGGAGCCGAACTTGCTTCTAGAATCAAGGACGAAACACCCTGGTGGAGACCGGCCCACTCTGGGAACACCGCGTGAATCCATCCTCAGGTCCCACTTCCCAACACTGCTGCACGGGGACTGGATTTCCAGCCCGTGCTCTCTGGGGACTCATTGGAACCCAGCAGCAACGGTTATCTTCTGTAACTGTTTGAGAACTCAAGGAAACTTCGTAACAGTTGGATTTAGCCAGGGGGCTGCCAGTTTGAGGCTCTTCTCTTGGGGACTGAGGTAGAGTAGGAGGAGGCCATGGGGTCCCCCATTGAGTCCGCTGTCCCCATCCCAGCTGCATGGAGCCCAGAGGTATCCATGCCCCTCCTCCTTCCCCGTGATTCCTGCTCACACCCAGGACCCGGTCATCAGCCCACACTGGCTGGTCTGGGTGGGCCAGCAAGTCTGGTCCACCATGGCACCTGCCCAGATAGGAGCCCCGCCCTCCCAGCTGGTGGAGGGGACCCGGGGAGGAGAAGAACACTTTTCTTTCACCATCTGACACAGACGCCATGAGCACTCACTATGCGCTAGGTATTGGCCTACAACTCAGATGAGAAGTATCAGGAGAGGCTGATGCACTACCAGGAGAGACAAGAGACGTTTCCTGGAGTGCATGTGAGTCACAGGTGGGAAGGACAGGATGGGGGAGAGGGTACTAACTGGGGTGCAGGTCACAGGAGAGGTCTTTGAGCCAGGACTTGAGGAAGACGGGGAACAAGCTGTGCAGAATTGGAGGGAAAGAACCCAGGCAGAGGCCCAAGGATGCCTGGAACACACCAGGGATTACTGTGCCTGTACCGAGGGAGGACTGTATGGTCTTTTCTTCCTTCCTTTCTTTCTTTTTTTTCCCCTGTACTGGGCATTGAACTGAGGACCTTGCACTTGTGAGGCAGGCACATTGCCACTGAGCTCAATATCTGGCTCCCTGTATGGTCATTTAAATATGTCTGCACTCAAAACAGCCAGGAAAACTCACTCCCAGAGAGACCCGGGCCCCTGACGGTTTGTACTCTACTTCCTGCTGCCCTCCAGGAGGGTCTTAGGGTACCAGAGCAGGGAGTCTCAGGTTCTCCCTGGTGATTGGCCCCAGGGCAGTCCTACGTAAATTGGAGCACGGCCCGCTCAGATCCAGCCTAGGAGGAATTTGTGGTTGGCAGGGGTCCGGCAAAAGGCCCATAAACATCTGTGCTTCAGAACAAAAGTTCCGTGGTGGCCCAAAGTTCAGAATATGAGCTTGGCAAAGTGAAATCAGCCCTTGGATGTGTTTTGTTTCACCTTCATAATTTTTTTTTTTTTCTAGACAGGATCTTGGTATTTAGTTCAGGCTGATCTTGAACTCGCTATGTAACCCACGCAGGCCTCAAGATCACAGTGATTCTCCTTCCTCAGCCTCCCACTTGCTGGGATTACAGGTATGCACTACCACACCTTTCATAATTTAAAAAAATCCGAACCCGCCCCTCTAATATTGGAGTTCCCCATAAATATTCAGATTTTTTGACATCTATTGAAAATTCAGCAGCCATTGGCCACAACTCTATTGAAATGTCCTTTAATGGCTTTAATTATGATTTGTAAAAGGTTGTACATTTTCAGGATCTAAAATTCAAAGGGAGGGTAGTGCATTTGAGTAGTCTCAGTACTTGGGAGGCTGAGACAGGAGGACTGCAAGTTCAAACTCAACCTGGGTGACATAGTCTCAAAAAACAAGACCTGTCATGTAATGGAGCAAGATTCCAATGATGAATGTATACCTAAAATGTATCAATAAACTCAGTGAGAAAAGAATTAATAATTAAAGTACAACTCAAAAGGTACAAGACGGTGTAATGAAGGATGAGTCTGTCCTGCATCTTTGAACTTCCCAAGGCCCCTACTTAGAAGCAGCCATCATTCGGGCTCCAGAGGTACTTTATTCCTCCTTGATCATATGCCTGTAGTCTTTCTCCCTCACAAAGGTGGCACTCTCAGCAGTTTCCCTACATCTTGCTTTCTTCCTTTAGCAAATTTACCTAGTTACTGCTGCACCTTCTGGTCTCACACTTTTCCTGCTGCACCGCATCCTCAACTCTTGCCTGGCTTCTCTGGCAGCGCACAAACAGGTAGGCATGAAGGGTAAAGCACCTGCCTCCCAGGCACCCTGCCCCCTTCTGCTCTCGGGTGCCTGCAGTTCCGGGTATGTCCAGCAGAGGGTGATACCATCCCACTCCCAAGACCACCCAGGGGTCGTCCCCTGGGGACCTTCTAGTTTGATGGCTCTGGGGAAGAGATGCTGTGGGTCCAGGCACAAAGACCCTCTTAGTAGGCCTGGGATCCACATATTTCCCCTTGCCCAACCTCCCCAAGGCCTCTGCTTCCTCTGTTTCTCTCTCCCCCTGTGCTTCCTGCTTGGAGCCTCATGCCCTTTTTCTCTCCTGGCAGGGCCTGGCCAGCCCCCTTCATGGGGGTGGTAGGAGGACTTGCCCCAGCCTGTGGCCTGGAACTGAGAAATTGCCTGGGATGGGGGAACAGATAAAGTGTGTAGCTGGGCAAGCACCACTTGAACCTGTCCCCTCTCCCTGACAAGAAGTGGGGTCCTTCTCCCTGCCCACAGCTGACCTGACCCCACAGAGCTGTGACCCCAAACCCTTGTCCGTCTCTGCACACTCTCACCAGCACCCTCTCTCTGGCCTGCTGCCTGTGGCCCTCCTCTCCACCCCCGCGAGGCTGTTGGCGGTGGCCTGGAGTCCAGCTGGTGGCCAGGGCAGAGCTACCCCTCTGCTGGCCTTGCCCCTCCCGGTGACCCCAATCCTCTGAGAGCCACTCAATGGGACCTTGTTCTCCATCCAGCCCCCGGACAAAAGTCTCTGTGTCTCAGAAGGCGGAAGTGGGGGGAGAGGGCACCCCCAGCAAGGGACCATGTGGGGGCCTGTTCAGACCCCAGCTGGAAGGAATGCCGCAAGGAGGGGACAGGACAGGGTGGAGGGCGGAGGAGGGGCCTGGTGCAGTGCTAGACACCTCATCTAGAGTGGTGGCCACCCCATCCCAGGCCCTGGCTTGCACCCTTGGGAGGAGCGTGGACTAGGGGACTCTGGCTCGGTTCTAGAGAGCAGTTCTGAAGTCCCCCAAGGCAGCGTGGGGGTGTTCCCTGGTCTAAAGGCCCACAGCTCCTTCACCTGCCCCCACCCCAACTGCCCTTACATTGCACCCCTCCCTTCAGCATCTTTTCCTGGCCCTTGACCTCTGTCAACAGAGAGACTTGGCCTTGAGGGGACTTTAAATCCACCAGGATTGCCAGCAGCCCTGCCCCAGGCAAAACACACAGACTAAATCAAAGAAGTAAGGTCCTTACACGGACATTTCACCTTCCTCCATGGTCCTGCCACACACAGGTCTGCCACTAAAGACCCCAGCACCTGCCCCTGTCAAGGTCTCTTTCAGAGTTCAGGAGATTGGAGAAAGTGCCTCCCTACTTTGAGGGACCAAGTTCCCCCTTGTCCTGCTCTCCCTCCACCTTACCTGAGGCTGTTGTGTCCCTGGTGACCCAGGGAGCTCCCCATCCAGGGGCTGGGAGGGGGAGGAGCTGTCTCTTTAAGAGAGGAATGTGCCTTGGGAGCTCCAGAGCCTCGGGAGATCTGCAGGTTCTTTACCTGCCCAAATTTGCTCAGGGCGTGGCAGCTGCGGATAAAGACTCAGGCCTGGCAGCTGTTTTCTCGCTTTCTCCCAGAACCTCCTCCGGCACTCAGCCACAGGTGAGCGGCTGGGGTCCCTCCCTCGAGTCCCCTGGGCTCTGCCCCAAACTTCCCCTACCTCTCACCTCACTGCCCCTACCCCAGGGGAGGTCCTCTGTTAGAGCCCTTAGGATCGTCCCTTCTAGCTCCTTTCCAGGGCACAGGAGATTGGAGAAGGCCCCCTCCTCTCCCCTTGGGTGACCCTTCCCACCATCCTCTCAGGGCCTTGGGCAGCTCGGGTGAGGGTTGGACCCATTCAGCAGAGACTTGGGACATCTGGAATGGTGGCGTGTGGTAGATTGGAGGTGTTTGACTGGAACAGAGGCAAGTGGATTGGGGGTGTTGGGTATAGGGGCAGCTAAATAGGTCAGGGGTGCTTAGGTGCATTGGGTGGATGGGGGATGACTGAGTGGACTGGGAGTGTCGAGGTACTGGGAGCCTGTGAGGCCCCGAGACTGCTAGGAGGGGGGATGGTTCCTGGAGAAGCAAGGACGTGGAGCTGGTTAGGAAACTGGGGGGACACAGGGGTGTGGTAAAACAGGGGAGGCAGGTGGCAAAAGAACTAGGCAAGAATAAGAGGAGAGATAAAGTTTTTTCAGGTCAGAGGATACAGTCAAGAGAAACAGCAGGCAAATTTCTAAGAGCGGAATCGCGCTGTGAGGATGAGAGATTGGAGTTTTTGTAAGGGTCTGAGGAGATGGGAAAAAAGAGTGTTGGTAGCAAATGGAATTCTTTGAAAAATGTATTTTTCTGGATCATCTAGCACCTTGTAGGTCTCCTAGGGGTGCCAGCACAGTGTCGAACATTGTACGTTTAAAGTCGCAATTTGACAAGACCATTTCTTTTGCCCTCGCGGAAGGCCTTCTATTTTGACTTCAGATAAGGGAGTCTGGGCACTGACTTCAGAGCAGACGGTCAGGGCTCACCGGGAGGAACGAGGGAGTCTGTCTTCATCTCACATAGTTTTGGTCAGCGCTACTATATTGTCTCAGGACTGCGGGCACAGCTGGGGGAACCGTAATCCGGGCATTCTGCTTTAGGGCTTCAACTTTTTTGCTGCCAGTGGGTACTCACTGCAAGGCTTCTTCTGCATACCTCAGGAAATGAGGTTCTTCTCCCCTCCTCTCTTCTCAGTCAGGGGTGGGGCTGGCTTGGTCACCTGGACACACCGGACCTGGCCCTGAGGTAACTCCAGATGCACAGGACAGGCCTCTAGCTCTGTGAACTGGAAAGGGCCTCTAATCTGGGGATACTCATAATTGAGGGGTCTTTCGCTCTGAAGACAGGACAGCAGAGGGCAGATTAAGGAAATAATGCTAAGGTGGGGGCTGGGAAGGAGCAGAGGCTCTTTGGACAGACACAGAAGCCTCTGCAGAGAACAGCCTGGGACAGGACTGCCAGAAAGGACGGACACCCAGCACCCAGCTGCCCGGAGCCTCGGGGTGTCCTGGCCTGGGAGCCCTCGGGAAGAGACAGAGGCGCCCGCCACCCCTCACTTCCTGGGTTTCATAGGAATGGGGCCGGCAGCACCTCGCAGACCCTGGGGGAGCCTGGAGGAGACCACAGAAAGAGACTTAAGACCAGGGATTTAGCTCAGTGGTTCTGCCGCCTGCCTCACAAGTGCAAGAACCCAAGTTTGATCCCTGGTGCCAAAAAAAAAAAAAAAAAAAAAAAAAAAAAAAAAAAAAAAAAAAAAAA